TTCCGTACGATGCATCATTTTCGCAGAAAAAAATAATTTCGGAAAAAGCAGTGGCTTACCTTTTTTTTAAATCTCCTGTATACATCCCGTACGGACACCACTGGTAGGAATATTAAAAAATATTCTACATCAAAAAATACCTGTTGGTGCATGTCAAATTTCATGAAAATATCTGGAACAGTATTAAAGTTATGATAAGAATACGATTTTTTTTTTAATTTTAACACCACAGACGTTTAGGACATATGTTCATATAAACTTTTCTTCCAAAAATGAGCTAATATCCTGTACTTTTAGCCCTCAATTAAATGACACCCTGTCTAATCTATAAGGGTCCATGGGAGGGACCTACATAATATCCACGTTCTAAAAAGTGTTTTTATTGATAGATTTATCATATAATCTTAAAATTAGTGGTTTTAAGAATTTTAAGCAGCACCTCTTAGGTCTGTCCAGATTTCCTCAATTATTAATAAACTGAATCCAGAAATTGCTGTACAAAATTGGTAGTGACAACGTTTCGATTCATTTTAAGTCACACTATCTACTACTGGTGACTTGCAAATCATCATCTTGCTTAGAATAAAAATGATAATATTTTCAAGACTGTAAACCTTCGATGTTTCGATATAGGGGTGGCCGATATGTAACCTGACTGGTTTTGTATCTTGAATATGTGTTGAAATGAAATAAAATACGTTCTATTTTGTCATCTTAATCTTTTATTGAAATTTATCAATTATGTATGAAAAATAATATATCACAAATGTCAGCCTCTAGAAGCCGCACCAAACCTAATCCATCTCTGATTTACATTTTCCGTCAATTTTTGGTAGGTTTCGGGAGGAATATTCTCAATCGCTTCCTTAATATTGTTCTTCAGCTGCTCTACAGTATTGGTTTGTTGACATAAACCATATTTTTCAAAAATCCCCATGAAAAAAGTCAGGAGCCATTAAATCCGGTGACCTTGGAGGCCAGTTGACATCGCCAAATCGAGAAATTAAACGTCCCGGAAATATTGTTCGCAAAAGATTCATTGTTTCCCTAGCTGTGTGACAAGTTGCTCCGTCCTGCTGGAACCACATGTTTTGCCGGTTAAATTGTTGGATTTGAAGGGCCAGAAAGTTTTGCACCATATCACGGTAGCGCTTGTCAGTGACAGTAAGAGAATTAACTGCAGCGTCTTCAAAGAAATAAGGTCCAATGACACCTTCATACCAAACACCGCACCAAACTGTGACTCGACGAGGATGTAGTGGTCGTTGATGGATGACACGAGGGCTCTCTAATGCCCAGATATGCTTATTAACAAATCCTTTCAAATGGCTCGTTATCAGTTGTCGGTAACAATTATTATTTTAGGTATTAAGCTGCAATATTGCATGACTGTGCTGTCGGTGACTTTCATGGTCACTAGGCTGTAGTTCTTGGGTTAACCGAATTTTGTATGGTCTTTTTTTAAAATAGCGCATAAAGACGTGCGACGAATACCCACTTCTTGAGAACGACGCCTGGTAGACGTCTCAGGCGCTCCACTACACTTTCACGAACTATCTCGATATTTTCCGGAGTACAAACAGTTCCAACACCGCCCGACCTTGACGAGTCTTTAACTTCACCTGTTTTTTCAAATTTCCGCACCAATTGTCGAATCGTGTTGACACTGGGCACATTATTTCGACAGAAGTCTTGTCGTAGCTTCCGAATGGTTGCAACAATCGACTCATTATATAGTAAAACGTTTTAACAATAAGGACGCGTTGTGCGATCGTGTAGCGCTCCATGATGATTTGGACACATGTGCTTTGAACAACTACTACCGCGCCACCTACTGAAATGCGTGTATAAAAATGGCGCGTAATTTAAATCAGTCAGATGTATATTGGCCACCCTGTATAGGTCTGTTTATCTAATGTATTGCTATACACCCCACCTGTATTACCAAAAATTAGCAATGAACTACATTTCCTAAACATTTTTTTTCAAGATGTATTTAAACAAAACTTATACCGCTCTACTTTGAAAATTTACCGAAATCGGTGAAACTTTGAAAATTGTATGAAAAAAATTGTGTGGGAGTAACCTGGTCTCACCATAGCATGATAGCTAATTTTATAATCAGGTTTTTCTTAAAATTCCGCAGGAATGAAAATATCTCCCAAACTACTGATTTCGAATAACATATAAATAATTTAAAAATATGCAGCTCTATACTTCGTAAATAAACTGTGTCTGATCCGTTTTAATGTATGTAGGGCTTCAAAGTTGGACCGAACCCTTACACTTGGTTTAATATGGAAGCTTTGGAAGAGACTTGGAGGAATCTGCAAAAGATTATCGAAGAAAGGGATATCGAATTGAATAAGGAAACGCAAAGGCAAGAAGAAAATGATAAACTCAGAAAGGAATTTGCCAAGCATGCCAATGCATTCCATCAGTGGCTAACTGAAACCCGGTAAGTGACAATCAGAAAACATACCTCTTTTGAGTCGTGAGAGAATTTCAATATGCAATTATTTTTGTTGTTGATTGATGTTGTTTAAATGTTTCACTATTATAAAGCTTAAAAAACAATATTTGTACATCTTGGGAGTTTTGTAGCTCATTCTTTATCCGATTTTACTATTTATCCGCGGGATCAAAATTCTTGATCCGGATCAAAAAGGACAAATGAGAAGGCGTCGTTGTAGTAATGGATCAAATGAATATAGGCGATTTCTTCTAAAATATATGTCAGCGAAAAAATATACGATTTGTGTAAGGTCCTCTAATTCCCATATTAAATCAAAAAAATTATATATAAATCACCTGGTTCAGCTACAAAAACAAATTTTTTCAATTGATGCGGAGATCAAAACCTTTGATCCGGATCAACGATGAATAAAATTAGAAAGCATTTTAGTAAAATCGGATAAAAAATTGGCCAATTGGAAACAAGTATCATAAACCCATCTTGTAGATGAACCAAATTTAAAACAAACAACACCTGAGAAAATTGAAAATAAGGATATATCGGTTGTCAATTAGGTGTAGGTTTCAACAAACTCCTTAATTATCTTCCGTTATCACATGCTGCTGTACCAAATTCGCATGTCGTCCTTCGAGATTAATAGAGGTGTTTCTGGGTTACAATTATTTTAAACACGTTTATCTGGTCTTGACGAATATGATATGATGAGGATGAGTCCATCGCAGAACATAGTAGCTCTACTTACAACTTACTTATAATAATCTGGCACCGAAACTACCTATAAAAGGCGCTACCTTAAATAATATTAACCACAAACCCAGAAACAACTCAGTAACATATTCAAAATAAGTAACTCTTTTTGTAATCAAATTTTGTAAATGAGGCACCAAGTATTTCCCGCCAAGCCGCACCCAAGAGCGAGATGTCATTTTTTGTACATCGTGAGATCAAACTGTCAAACTTGATCTACATAAACAACCACGGATCTCTTCCATCCTTGTAATAAATTAGCATAGCAAGTTTCGGTGTGAATGCTGTGTTTAGGCATTGATATATTGCTTATGGTTGAGTCATCCTAATTAACACTTGTGAATATTTGCGAACGCATCCTCCCAGCCCCATCTCTAGAATTCGTTTTCCTCTACTGACGGTTGATATGAAGTGGTGCACAGTTACTTTGCAACACGGAATATTTTACCCAAATTCAAATCTCGATATTTTCGGAACGGAAAGGGATATCGAGTTGCGGTATTCGGGAGGTTCTTGGTCAACTTTTTAAAAACACGTTTACAGGGTTTGATCGGTATATTTCTTTTATTATCAACTTATACAGGGTGAGCAAAGGAAGTCGGGTTTTTTTAGGAAAGTTTTGAGGCTGTATCAGATTCTCAATTTTTGATCTTGGAAATTTTTCTCTGCATCTTTTTGATCTTTGGACTACCGAAAAAAAGCTATTTCTCAAATTTTTTCAAGTTTGTTATAACTCAAATTATCTAATTTTAAAAAAGTGTTACATTTATCCCTAAAAAGGGATAGGGATTTCTCATACTGTTGCATAAAGTGGAATTTGTTGCGCTCGAGAAAAGATTGAAGTACTCATTGAACGTTATTGCCTCCAGTAGGGGATGCTAGTCAACCCTGCTGTTCATCTTTTATCTTGAATTTTTTATCTTTCTCGTTCAGCATTGATGTACGCGTCTTTATTAGAGATGTTTTCCAATAGGTAATAGACTGTATTAAATTTTTAAACAACATCAAATAATGTATTGATTAACATTAATAATATGTAATATTTTGGAAAACAAAAATTTGAATAGCAGTTAAATTCCTAAATTATTTATGACACTAAACGACCTTGTGCCAATAATCTCATACAATTCTCTTGTACTTTTTGAAAAAGACGATGCATTTTTGAGAAAATAAAATTATACTGTCAAGTCTACAGTCAATATTATTGTTACTTAGCTGTGTGGTGTAGGTAGTTCGGATGAAACCGGAGAGACGTCCTATTTGCATGGAGAGGGGAATTCAAAAAATACGAGGCCGAGCCGAAAGACATTTAATGCAGGAAGTTAAAAATTCGATAATTTGAGTTATAGAAAACTTTCGAAAAATTGGAGATATCACTTTTTTGGGATAGTACAAAGATCAAAAAGATGCATAGAAAAATTTGCAAGATCAAAAGTTGAGAATCTGACAGAGCCCCAAACTTTGCTAAAAAATTACTTCCTTCACTCATCTTGTATAAGTGGATAAATGAAAGAAATAATCCGGTCGAACCGGAAACCTTCCGAATACCGCAACTCGATATCCCTTTCCATTCCGAAAATATCGAGATTTGAATCTGGGTAAAATGTTCCGTGTTGTAAAGCAACTTTCCACCAGTTTATTACACAATATCATTTTCAGTACATCAATGATGGAAGGTACCGGATCGCTGGAACAGCAACTGGAGGCAACTAAGCGTAAGGCAGCTGAGGTGCGCGCTCGTCGCTCCGATTTGAAAAAAATCGAAGATCTGGGTGCTATCCTAGAGGAACACCTTATACTGGATAACAGATATACGGAGCACTCCACGGTTGGGTTGGCGCAGCAATGGGATCAGCTCGATCAACTTGGCATGCGTATGCAGCACAATCTTGAGCAGCAGATACAGGCCAGAAATCAATCAGGTTAGTAGCATTGACTGTAAAACGTGAAGAAATGGTGGCTCGAACTACAACTGACATCATTGTTCCACCGCCGTGGTCAGTAGCTAATTCTTACGTTCGTACCTAGTTCAGGTATATTTTCAACTAATATTGCTAAATTGTACAAAGGACGGATGTTTTTGAAATAGCTAGTACTCTCCGCCTGTTCAGGCGAGAGTGGTGGGGAGAGTGCCGTTTGACTTGGACGTTCCTAGCATTTTTAGCAGTAGACATTATGGAGCAGTGGACGGTTGAGCACCGCGTTTTTTCGTACAACAGTTTTGTCCGACATAATGAGTCTATCACGGCTGTACAGCGTGAGCTTCGCCGCCACTTCAAGATTCATCGGAATCGAGATGTTCCTTTTCGAACACCATCCTTCGTTGGGTTCAGTCGCTTCGCACATGTGGTGTACTGATAAACAAAAGACCACCAGGAGCTTCTCGAACGGTTTGACTCCCTGAAAATGTGCAACGCGTTCAATAAGCTCTCCGGCTCGATCTGCTCGGCAACATGCTGCTGAACCTCGACTCGGTGATCGTTCGGTAAGGTGTATTTTGCATATGGAACTCCACTTTCACCCCTACAAGTTGGCCATTGTGCATCAGCTGTAGCCTGGAGATTACGCACAACAAATGAACTTCGCACGTGAGATAGAAGCACTTAACGAGCAAAATGAGAGCCATTATTGGGATTTTTTTTATACTCCAACTACCACGAAACCCTAAGGCCTCAACACCCATGGGGTACCGTGCGGCTATAGGGGGTACAGGGCAAAGGGGGGACGCCACACGGACTCTGGCGAGGGAACACGTATGCGTGCAACATGCACACATTCTGGACCCGTCTACGACATCCACCTGGGGTTCCTCCGCGTTCGACAGTCAGGGACCGTCTACCATCTACGGACAATCACAACATTCATAGCCAAGAGAAAAATTTCTCTTGGGACGGGATTCGAACCCGCGCAGCGCACGGTGACTGATTAGGAGACCGAAGCGTCTACCACTGCGGCCACCGCTGCTGCATGAACTAATGGAAATCCACGATAGTTACATGAAAAACCCCAAAAGTGACGGTTTGGTGCTCTGTATCGCAAACTTGCATCATCGGCCCTTACTTCATCGAAGACGGTAATGACAATTCCGTTACCATAAACTCAGAGCGCTATGTCGAAATGATCAGCAACTTCTGTTCACCTGAATTACGACGACGACGTATTCCATTCCGACGTGTGTGATTCCAACAATATGGGGCGACCGGCCACGCAGCCAGAGCAACGATGAACGTTATCCGCCCTCTCTTCCGGACCCTGTACAGAATTAAATACAGCAATCCTGCACAAATCACCATACAGTTCAAGATTAGCACAGACCTTAAATGCACTATTAGGAACAGCTGACTAAAAGTCCCCATCGATTTCTGGAGCGCAAAATTATTTATTTCTATAAAATTGTCTGCAAGCAGTGTTTGGAAAATACAGGGTGGATCATCATAAAAATCACTTGTGTTTTTTAAATAAAACCCCGAAACGCGAGCGGAAACGCTGGAGCGCGGTACCGTTCGATTGCGTGATTCATGCATTTTCAGTAGCCATCAGTCAATTCACGGGCAACAGCGCGCCTTCGTGACGCACGCGTTTTTTGAGACTAATCATTCTTATGTCACTGTGCGACGTTTATTTCGAGTCAAATATGGATTGCGGCGTATTTATAAGTGCCCTAGCACCAATTTAATGAAGCAGTGGTTGAGGAGGTTTCAAAAAACAGATTAAACATTGTCAACAAGACGTCAAGGTCGCCCATGGACTGTACATTCTATTTCACGAGTATCCATCACGCTTTAACGTCTACTGAGGTGAACAGCTGATCAGCAAGTGACATTTTTGTGTTAGTCTGCGACGTTGGCAATAGTGAATCGCGTTTAAATCTAGTAAAACTTATTTGTAGCATTTTGTTTTTTGCATGCAAATGAACTTTTCTAAATGAAAGAGCTGTTAGCAAGTACAAAATGAATCTGTAGAGTTCAAAAAACCAAAACAAAATACAGCTCTGGCTACGTGACGTTCACGGATCCGTCAGAATTATGTGTCCTGTGCCCATATGGGGAACTTTGAGATATTACTAGATAACTAGCTGACATTGTTCCGTGATGGATACTCGTGAAATAGGGTGTACGAACGGATCACACAATAGAGGTTCGAGTCGATCCAGAGCTCCCGTCTATAGTATTGCTCGTACTAGTGGCTTAGCTGCTGAGTGCCGTGTCATGTTGACATCTCTCTGTCGGCTAAGAGTCAATTTAACTATGTTACACTTCTATAGAATGGAATCGGTTGATGACCCATTTTGTGAAAAGCAAATAGACATTTTCTGACATTTTATTACTGTGATAGATTTATTGTACGATATAGCACTTGTACTGCTTATTTCTTATGGCATGGATATGTAATCGCCAACAACCGTCAAAAGGCCTAAACATGCATCCTTGCACGCTTTTTTTAGCATAAATACAAACCTTTATTTTTTAGGTGTGAGTGAAGATGCCCTCAAAGAATTCTCTATGATGTTCAAACACTTTGACAAAGAGAAGACAGGAAAACTGAACCACCAAGAATTCAAGAGCTGTTTGCGTGCTCTAGGATATGACCTTCCGATGGTTGATGAAGGTCAACCAGATCCAGAATTTGACGCTATTCTAGGTTAGTATCAATACATTTCCAGTCGTCACCTATTTCGTTATTTTTGAATAGCTCATAGGCCAGTGTTTCTAAATCTGAGTAGTTTAATTTATCTTTAAGTAGATTTTTTGTGCAATATTTCATCAGTTGTGTAACATCACAATAACTAAAGTGGTGGACAAATTCAAATCTGGATATTTTCGGAACGGAAAGAGATATTGAGTTGCGGTATCGGGGGGTACTTGTCAACTTTTTGAGAACATGTACAGGGTCGACCAGTATATTTCTTTTATTTATCCACTTATACAGGGTGGGCAAACAAAGTCAGGTTTTTTAGCAAAGTTTGGGGCTATGTCAGATTCTCAATTTTTGATCTTGGAAATTTTTCTATGCATCTATTTGATCTTTCGACTATTCTAAAAAAATGATATCTCAATTTTTTCGAAAGTTGGCTGTAACTCAAATTATTGAATTTGAAAAAAGAGTTACATTTATCCCTAAAGCATTTTGGGGTTTCTCTTGAGAATGGGTATTTCTTCTCATACTGATGCATAAAGTGGAATTTCTTGCGGCGCACGAGAAAAGATTGAAGCAGTCATTGAACGTTATTGCCTCCAGTGGCGTGCAGTAAAAATGTTCTACTTTGAGATGTAGTTTAAACCGAATTTATAAATTTTACTATGCAATTAAACAGCTTAAGAGGTGCTAAAAACTAAAAACACTTTATTTTTAAAAATGCTATGATGCTAGCCAATACTGCTATTCATCTTTTATCTGGAATTTTATATCTTTCTCGCTCAGCATTGGCATACGTGTCTTCATTGGAGATGTTATCCAATAAGCTTTATTAAATTTTTAAACAACATCAAATTTATTTCCAGAACATTTAGAACACTACATAGAATTGAATAATCATTACCACAATTATTATACAAGAGGAAATATAGATTTTCATTTACAAAATTGCAATCATAATATAACATCAAATCAATATTTCAGAAAGGATTACTTGAATTTAATAAACTAAATGATGATATAAAGTCTACTACATATTGAAGACCAGTTAAAAACCTAAATTATTTATTTATGACAAAAACGAACTTTTCATAAAATAGCAACAGTTATTTTAAACAATACTGTTAGTCCCTTGTAGGGCCACCCAGCACATCGATCACAGCCTGGCATCTTCGTGGCGTTCTTTCCAAGGTTATTTATTAATAGATTCACGGGATACGTTTTCCCACTTTTCCTAAATGGCCTCAGACAGCGCATCCATTGTTTGAGGAGCATTTTGTCTTGACCGCACTAAAAATGTTTGTCGAGACCACACATGCTATTATTATGTTTAGGTCTGAAGACTTTGATGGCAGAGGCAATAATGTAACATTATTTTCTGCCAAAAAGTTTATAACCGTACGAGCTCTGTGCGGCCTGGCGTTATCTTCGATGAAGACAAAATCCTCCCCAAAATCTTGTGCAAAAGGTATACCAATATTGTTTAAAATGTTGTCCCTATAATCTGCAGCATTGACTGTCCTGTTTGAAATAAAAGGTTCGATTTTACCAATGTGCATAACCCCAGCCCAAACAGTAATGCCACCTCCACCAAACGCCTCTTGTGGAGACATGTTTTGTTCATCATATCGTTCCCCAGCTTGCCTCCAAACAAAGACCCTACCATCCAGAGTGGTATAGGTTAAAGCGTGTTTCATCGGAAAACATGCAATTTAACCACTGCTGATGCTTATTTAATAACCGCTCCTCTGCCCACTGATACCTGGCGACTCTATGATTGTTCAAGAGTCGGGTTCACATGATGTGATGCCTTGCTCTGGAAGAAATGCTAGGTACTTTAAAAAAGTACCTAACAAATTTTTTATAACATTTACATACCTCAAAAAATTAGAATTTAAACTTCTTTTTACAGCATTATTGGATGCTATTATTCCACTATGCCGCGTAAGTTTTCATTCAAGATTCTAGATGAAAGGATCCTTCTTCGCCTTACTTCCTGCATTTGTGTCTTTCGGCTCGACTTTTTTTTTTTGATAACCTCCTCCACGCAAGTAGGATGTTTCCCCGGTATCCTGATATCTAGCCCCTTAAACCGTATATTGAGGACCGATCAACATTATGAATTAACGCTACATCATTCACTAAACGACCTCCCAATCTTATACAATTCTCTCGTACTTTTTGGAAAAGGCGAGGCATTTTTGAGAAAATAAAATTATACTGTCAAGTCTACATTGCATTGCATAGGTATAGTTGGGATGAAACCGGAGAAACGTCCTATTTGCATGGAGAGGGTAATCAAAAATACAGAGGCCGAGCCGAAAGATTGGAGAAAGTTAAAAATTCGATAATTTGAGTTATAGCCAACTTTAGAAAAAATTGAGAGATACGTTTTTTTATGATAGTCCAAAGATCGAAAAGATGCAAAGAAAAATTAATAAGATCAAAAATTGAAAATCTGACAGCCACAAATATTGCTAAAAAACATGACTTCCTTTGCTCACCCTGTATAAGTGGATAAATAAAAGAAATATACCGGTCGCACCCTGTAAGTGTTCTCAAAGAATTTGTCAAGAACCTCCCGAATACCGCAACTCGATATCTCTTTCCTTTCCGAAAATATCGAAATTTCAATTTGGGTAAAATTTTCCATGTTGCAAAGCAACTGTCCACTAGTTAAGATGTAATCTGCAGATATAAAAAATGCAATTACAATGTATAGCTAATTATAATCAGAGTTGAGTTATGTTCTGATCAAGGTCGGCACTCCGAAGTGAGACAGATATTCACTGATTGGACAGCCTCACCTCAGTTTAGACTGTTTCACTTCACTTGCAAAACGAACGCAACTAAATTCAGGTAATATTATTTGGTTGGTTTTTGGGTTGTTAGGCCTGTGTCTACACAGGACTCCAAACTGTGAACATCTTATGAAGATGCCAACCACTCGTGTTGGCGAAACGTTAAGTAAAAATGTTTTACGACGGCCTAACAACCCAAAAACCAACCAAATAATATGCCGCGAAAGCCCTTCACACTTCATAAATTCAGGTAATTTAAACAATATATTTTTCCAGATGTGGTGGATCCAAACAGGGATGGATATGTTTCCTTACAGGAATATATGGCGTTTATGATTAGCAAAGAAACAGAAAATGTGCAGAGTTCTGAAGAAATAGAAAAGGCCTTCCGCGCGATTACAGCGGGTGATAGACCTTATGTGACTAAGGAGGAATTATATGCGGTAATTATTCTTATTATTATGTTTTTGCTGCCAATCTCGAGGTACTTCAAAACGGATGAATTGCTACTAAAAAATGTATGCGATGAACTGATTTCTGACACGAATACATCAAATGTTGAAAAGTTTCGATGTATGCATCAGTAACAGCTCAGAATGGAATATTGCGTTGCGGGCCTAGCGCTCTGACTTTTGGTATAATGATTTTGACTATACCGGGTGATTTTTCAATGTGGCTCATACCTATAACTTCTGTATTATTGAAGATAGAAAAACGAAGTTTGAGGGTTGCGTATTAAGGATGAATTTACATTTTTAACATATTCACTTGCTTTGACGTACTTCCGGTTTGACCGGAAACGACTCCAACACCCTATATATTATTACTTATTTCGATCGAGAATGACATTCTCCACTCAACAACGCCTCACTTGTCAATATTTGACACATAAAGTCATTTTTAAGGGTACTATAAACAGACGTGCTGCTGGCGGCTACTATGCACCCATGGGCAACATGCAGCCTCCTGCGTCCGTTTGTTAAGTCATATTGCCAAACTTTTATAGTACCCTTTGTATGAGGTCCGAACAATATATTTTAATGACTTATAAAATAAAACAAAAATATTTTTTAGCTTAAAAAAATAAACAAACTTTAAGATAAAATTAGATAATGTCCGAACTATTTTGGGTTAGGGCTCTTACGAAACAAATGACTATGTGGTAAATTCAAGGCCTACCTAGGAAATTCTGTTTTTTTCTGAAATAACTAAAGTTTGGGAATGTTAATGTATGAACATATTTCCATTTTTGGAATCTGTGCAAAAATCCAATATTACCTCCATAAAAAAAATAAAGTTGATGCTGATGAGACGAAATCTCATATTGAAATTCTAATTATGCCATTTTATAGATGAGAAAAAATAAAGTCAGGAAGAAATTGAAACTATTTTAAGAAAATTCAGGTTTTCTGTCACTCTACGGAAGTACTTTGGTTTTCAAAACTTTAAGCGGCATTTTGTTAGTTACCTGAAAATACAACTTTGCCCACATTTAAGCGACTTCGTATCTATTACTGTTTCCGAGATCCCAACGGTGATGGTCGAATTTGAAACACCCAGTATAATATGTACTGAACAGCAACCCGTGATAAAAAATACAAAATCATAAGGTTTTTTAAATATTTTTCAGTTCCTGCCCATTACAGAATTTTTATTAGGTCTAAAGGGTTCGTCTAGTAAATGCTATAGGCCTCACGGCACATTTTTCTGAATATATACTGAAATCATAACTATTAATCTTATATTTTTCAGAACCTGACCAAAGAAATGGCGGACTATTGCGTTGCCAGGATGAAACCTTATATCGAACAAAAAACAGAACGACCCATTGCTGGTGCACTAGATTACATAGAATTCACGCACACCTTGTTCCAGAATTGATTAATCTTATAAAACATAGATATTCTATTATAGCAATAGTTTTTTAAAGCTTATACACTATCTATCGAATAAGTTCGTGCAACATGATTTACTAATGACACATTTATTCCTTTTTTGTAATCATATTTTTAGGTAAAGTATTGTATGTACTTTGAAGAAGATTCACGGTTATTTGAGAGTTTGGAAATGGTCAAAGATCTCGGGTAGTAGTGAACTACCAAATTATTATAAATGGGGATGACTGATTCGGAAACAACGTTTTATCAAATATTAACCTTCTACTTTACTTCCAATTTACCTATATATGGCACTATTGTCAAAAATATGGAAACGGTCGAATCTGACTGGTATATCATCCTACTGTTCTAAATTTGGGGCATATCAGTCCACTACTTCCCCAGGAATTCTACTGAATCGCTACCAGACTTTCAAACAGCCGAATATATAAATATATAATTATATGCCCCTACATATGATTGTTTTCTTATGTCTTAGAGACCTTGAAGTAGTGTCTATTTGGATCCCAAAAAGGTACCCCTCAGTTATTTTCTGGACAGGTCAAGCTAACAAGTTGAAGTTCGGGGTGATGAAATTGATGCACGACTACTATACAGAGTGTTAATTATGTACCATAAATTTAACAGACGATTATTTGAGTAATCTTGAGACAAGAAGCTCATATAAACATAGGTCCGCAAATGCTTCGTTCTCATGATATAGGGTGTTGAAATTTTAAAAAATGCATCTGAACTAATATTTGTGAAAAAAAATGTACGTCACTAACTTTTGTACAATTTTTATTATGTTCTTTGATTTAAGCTGAGAGAAATACAACTTTTGCCTCTTCAATTTTTTTTTCATTTCTTGCTTAGTTTTCGTGAAAAAAATCTATTTTTCGGCATATCCCTGGACCACACAAGGAATAGCTGTTAAAGGTTCTTTTGGAAATAGTTTTTTACAACTTTTTATTACTGATTATGTAACAACTTGTCGTCCACCTCAATGAGAAAATTCTAGTAGACTGCGATTTTCAGAAACCTATAGACCTCTACCAGGATTGCAGAAACGGCAACAGGCATCGATGCCATGTATTTGAATTTCGTTTTTATCTCATAGCATTAGCAGAGTAGTTTGCAAATCTCCTCCAGTTTCTGTGAACCTGAAAACAAGTCTGCAATCTACCAATTTTAAGAAGCCGTGATCGGCCGTGGGATATTCAGAAACGTACAGGTATAGATCTGTAGCAGGATTGAAGAAACGACCAGGAGTATAGTTGCCAAAGATCAAAGTTTCGAGTCAACATCATAGCATAAACAGAGATCTATTCAGATACCTATCGCGTTTCTGTGATCTTGATAGCAACTCGTCATCCACTATTCTACGAGTCTGGTCGACAATGTAATTGCCAGAAACCTATAGAACTGTATCAGGATAGCAGAAACGGCAAGAGATATCGTGCCATGGATGTGAATTTCGTGCTTATAGTAGCAGCAGAGTACCATTTGCGTACCTCATTCCGTTTCGAAGAATCTGATAAAAAGTCTTCAATCTACCAATTTGACGAAGAAAGCCTGATCGACAGTGTAACTTTAAGAAACCCATAGATCTGCATCAGGATCGCAGAAACCACGAGGAGCATAGATGCCAAATATCCAAGTTTCACGCATCATAAATAGAGCACAGTACTGTTCACATATCTCCTCGCGTTTCTGTGATCCTGATAGCAAATCGTCATCCTCCAATTTTACGAGAAAAGTCTGGTCGGCAGTGCGATACTCAGACACATATATATCAGCATTAGGATCGCAGCAACGGCAAGAAGTATCGATGCCATGGATTTTAATTCCGCTCTTATCTCATAGCAGGAGCAGAGTACTGGTTTCATACCTCTTCGCGCTTCTGTGAACCTGGTAACAAGTCTCCAATCTACTAATTTTACGAAGAATCTGTGGTTGAAATTGTGATATTGAGAAACATAGATCCATATCAGGATTGCAAAAACGTCTAGGAGCATAGATGCCATAGATCAAAATTTTGTGCCAACATCATCGCATAAGCAGATGACCATTCACATACCTCCTCGCGTTTCTGTGATCCTGATAGCAAATCGTCATCCGCCAATTCTACGAGAAAAGTCTGAACGACCGTTCGAACTTCAGAAACCTATGAATCCGTATCAGGATCGCAGAGCTATCCATGCGATGGATTTGAATTCCGTGCTTATCTCATAGCATGACAAGAGTACCATTTGCAAACCTCCTCGCCTTCATGCGAACCTGATAATCTACCAATTTCACGAAGAAGCTATGGTCAACAGTGCGATGTTCAGAAATCTATAGATCTGCGTCGGGGATGCAGAAACGACCAGGAGCATAGATGCCAAAGATTAGAATTTCGCACCAACATCATAGCATAAGCAGAGAACCATTCATATCTCTCCTCGAGTTTCTGTGATTCTGATTGCAACTCGTCGTTTTACGAGAAGTCTGGTCGACAGTGCGATATTCAGAAACCTATATATCTGTATCAGGATTGCATTTGCACACCTCCTCTCGTTTTTGTGAACCTGTTAACAAGTCTCCAATCTACCAATTTTACGAAGAAAGCCTGATCGCCAGTGCGACTTTAAGAATCTTATAGATTTGCAATTAATATCACAGAAACCACAAGGAGCATAGATCAAGGATCCAAATTTCATGCGAGGATCATAGATAGAGCACAGTGCTATTCACATACCTTCTCACGTTTCTGTGATCCTGACAGCAAGTCACCGTCCATCAATTTCACGAGAAGAGTCTGGTCGACAGTGCGATTTTCAGATACCTATAGATCTGTATCAGGATCGCAGAAACTGCAAGAATTATCGATGCCATGGATTTGAATTTTATCTCATATCAGGAGCAGAGTACTATTTGCAAACCTCCTCACATTTCTGTGAATCTGCTAACAAGTCTCCAATTTACTAATTTTACGCAGAAGCTGTGGTCGACAGTGTGATATTCAGAAACATATAGATCTGTGGCTGATCAACATTTTGCGCCAACATCATAGCATAAGCAGAGGAATATTCACATATCTCCTCGCGTTTTTGTGAGCCTGATAGCAACTCGTCGTCTACCAATTCTACGAGAAAAGTCAGATCGACAGTGCGATTTTCAGAAACCCTATTGATCTGTATCAGGATTGCAGACACGACTAGGAGCATAGATGTGAAAGAACAAAATTTCGCGCCAACATGATAGCATAAGCAGAGAGATCCTGACTGCAACTCGTCGTCCAACAATTTTACGAGAAGTCTAGTCGACAGTGCGATATTCAGAAACATATAGATCTGTATCAGGATTGCATTTGCATACCTTCTATCGTTTTTGTGAACCTGGTAACAAGTCTCCAATCTACCAAGTGTGCCATAGTCGTGCTCCGAGACTAGTACAGTCGAGGACAAAATAATTACGTAAGGCTATCTCATTCAGGAAATTTTATTAATCAATTCATATGTGATATAAATTCCTTCTACTAACTTAATTTGCATAATTAAAAAAATGGCAGGATACTATGAGAGTTGGTCCATTTACAGTGGTCCAATTTTTTTACAAAAGAAAGAATAACAACTTGTTCTGCCTCTAAAATTAATAGTCCAGGCGATAGAATTGTTTTGTTTTTGCTTTTTTCGAATATCCGTGATTTCATTCACAAAAATTCGATTTCTTTAAAAACTATAACACCGAATAAAATGAAATTTGAAGTATTGATGTAGCAGTGATGTCGATTATGGCATTAGTGTTTTGTATTTATCTTCTGTTATTATTGTAGATTTTATTATGGATTACTTTTACCTAAAAGAAAAAGCTTTTCAAAAATAGCTGCTGAGAAAATTTCTGGAGCAGAGGCTTTCATATTATATTAAAAACTATCCCAGAGTCTAGGAATAAACTGAGCAAAAATCAAAATGATTGAACTACAGTAACAACTCCAAAAATTTAGATAAGTGTAGCTGAGCCAATGAACAGGAACAAACAGTCGCAACATTAATTTAAAAAAAAAACGAACTCCTGCTTTGAAAGAGAGAGTCTAAATACTACTTTAATGTGTGTAGCCACATTATAGAGCGCATTTAAAATTGCCCCTAAGCAGTGTTGATTTACAATAAATGCAGACACCTATTTAAAAATATGCCGAATTTCCAACAAAAATGAAGTGTACTCGTGTTTCGAAAGTTAAGAATTCTGATTGTACACCAATTTGCGGCCAAGAAATGTTCTGCCAGATGTTGAAATGAAAGAAATTACTTAATAACAGATCATAAAATTTACCGAAGGAAAAGGAATTTTCACCAAATCTCAAGCTGGGTTCAGGAAGAAATACTCAACTGAAACGGCAATACAAGTGGTTATAGACGACTGGAGGAGATGTATGGAGAACAGGAAACATACAATGACAGTGTTTTTGAACTTCAAAGGGGCGTTTGAAACTACTGACAGGGCTTGCTTACAAAATTGCATCACTATGGATTTAAAGGGTCTGAATTCAAAATTCTACAAAACTATTTAATTGACAGAAGTCAAAAAACCAAAATTGGATCTACATTATCAATCACAAAAAATATTTCTGTTGATGTACCACATGATAGTAAATTAGGTCCACTACTACTTATTTTATACATTAATGACATTTGTAATATTTTAGATTATTGTAAAATTTAGATATTTGCAGATGATACATTAATATACATATCAGATGAAAATACCGCAAAGTTTGAGTTTTCCTTTAGACGATGTGTAAATCTTGAGAAAATTAGCGGATTTTCTGTTAATTTACGGTGAGTGTCTTCAAAATGCGACCGAGGCTGGGCTACGTCGAGCACGCATATGTGTTTTTGAATCCATCGGCGACAACTTCGAACAGTACTTTCAAAATACGTTCACCAAGAAAAAGTGACACTGAAGTCATATGTTCCATCTCTTTTTTGTTATTTTTGCACATGTGCTCCTATGATTTTAAGACAGAGTCATACTTGGAATTTCAATTCAACTGAGCAGTCAGTACTTTTTCATTTATTTTTTTTTACTTGTTTCCTCACGTTTCACCAGACTAGCTTTGTTATATCAAGCGTAGTTGTGTCTGAAAAGGAAAACCCCAACTTTGCAGACACCCTGTATAGACACTGCTTTAAAGAATTATGACATGGCAAAAATCATTAATTGGTTAAATGTAAATAAACTAAAATTGAATGCTTTTAAAACAAAATGTATCCTAATCCAAGGCAGATATTTTTGAAATGCCGGTTTTCTTTTAGGGAAAAATAAATAAACCATAATAAAAGATGAATACAAAACACAAATGCCGTGGTATAGTTTTCAAACAAATCGAATTCGTTTGACCGGAGTCACGAATATTTGAAAAAATGCAAAACATTCTAGCTCCCAGACTGTAAGGACCTCTTTTATCCAAAAACAAATTTGGACTACTTCAAACGGGCCACCCTGTATGAATCAATCACATCAAATCAAGTGCTCTAATAATCCAAGGAAACTGAGATCATAAATTGTCGATTATCTTCTTTACGTTACCATCAGAAACAGCAAAAACTTTATATTGATGATTTATTTATCATTTCGTGGAAATTAACGATTACAGTGAGAATAGACTTTTAGGAAAATAAAAAGTCAAAGCATCAAACATGTGAACGTGAACAACCTAGTTGAACTTGCATTTGCTGAAATCCATCTCAGGATGTTGCTCCATAAATTTCTTCAGCACTTCTTGTTTTTTCTGTTCTTCGCTAGTGGGTAACCCCATTTCTTTTTGTCTTTGATCATACATCATCTTCTCTACCATACCTGCACAGATACAAATTCATAAATATGAATGCAAAAATAATTTGGGTTTTTCAAAAACGCAGAAAATTTAGTGTTATTCAAAGGATATTCATCAAATTTTGCAAAAGCGTATATAAGTACTAAATGACATAGAAAATGCAACACCGACTAGGACTGCTGTAATTTTGAGCATACTTTTACAAGTTTTAGGTCTACTGATAAATATAAAGTGATTCAAATTTTAACTCGAAATTTCACAAAATAGCTGAGATATCGACCTTAATGTTAATAATGTGTTGAAACTCTCGCATCATCATTGATTGGACTAGGTGATTGATATCTCCTTGGTGTATTGTATCCCAAGCCATCTGAATTTGGTAGAGCCTCCAATGTTTGTGGAGGGTGCGATGAACTTTGCAACCTTCTTCTCTTCATGTTCATACATGTTCGATGGGGGAAAGTTGTAGAGATCGAGAAGGCCATTCAAGCAGATTTACTCCGGACGCTTCTAAAAAGTCTAAACTAGCACGTGCGACATGAGGGCGTGCATTGTACTGCTGAAAAAGTGGAGCTTTCAATGTTTCCAAAAAGGGAAGCGATGTGGTTGTGAAACTTCGTGGATATAGCGCTGGGCAGTCATACTACCTCGAATGAACACTAATCGTGACCTGCTGCCGTAAGCAATGGCACCTCATACCATAACACCTACAGTGCGATGAATAAGCTGTTTGATGGAATATTGGATGTTCCGTTTTTCACCACGTCTCCTCCTTACCTTTGCACGGCCATCATTTATACCCACATACCAATCGTTGCCGACAATGCTGTGGGGTCAGAGGTAGTACAAGATGGGGACGGTGTGAAAGTCCAAAATACCTTATTCGGCGATAAACCACTGGTTCGCAACTGCCATTGTTGTGGAAAAATCGATCCCTAAGTGCTAGTTAGTTCAAATAACGATCCTGTCGCTCTGTAGTCTGTCCTTGACGTCCAATACCTCCAACTCGTCGATTTCGGCCTTCCGGGTTCACGCGATCCTATTATCCGACCCCTCTAAAACTCGGAAAGTTGAGTGAAATTAGCGGCCCTGCGAACTCTAGGCATGATAATGCAATGAAACAAATGGAACCAACACAGAAAAATAGCTGAATATTAAGTAAACATGTTCCTATTGTTCGGATCCTGAAATGACAAAAAAAAACCTTTACAAAACAAATACGGCTCGGAATGCCTTCAACATTTTATCAGCGTATACTTTTTATCAAAGTTCAGTAAATAATTCTGTGTGTTGCATTTTATATGTAACTTAGATACATCAGATAGCAATAACTGTGCTGTTGCAAGATCTGCCATTTTTCGGTATTCTATTTTTTCAATTTGTACCTCAATCTCCAAATATCAAGCTCACTATATCACTTATGAATTTATGGCAATACGGTCAAAAATCTGGAAACGAGATCTCCAGAGTTTTCCATGCTCCTTGGTTGGATGATAATATACTGAGTGACATTAGAAGTGTTACACCCAGAAAAATAATTTCTTCAACATGATTGTTTGGCAACATAATGACTATATTTAAAGCATGCTGTGGCAAGAATGTCAACGTTTTATCTTTGTTCTTGTTTACCTTTGTTAAAATGTTTTCTCTTAGTTTTTATGAAGAAAGCAGTTTCTGAGAGCTGGGTAGTACAGATATTTTTAAGTTATTTCCCCTTCATGTACTAGTGTTAAGCACAACAAAATGCCTCGAGTTCGAAGACGTCCAAATTATCACCATGTTAGCCACTGGCAGGGGTAGAATTATGGTCTATCGAGATGTCGGTTTGTCCTGTCGGGAAATTGGTTGCCGTGTTAATTGTACGGCAATGACGGTAATGCGTGTGTCGTGTGTAGATAGAGAAAGGTAGAGGAACACGAAGAAGGACAAATGGTCCACCGAGGCGTACCACAGAGCGTCAAGATAGGCGCTTCAGACAACTAGCCCTATGAGACCGTTTTGCTATTACGCGTCAACGCGTCAGATCGCTGACCAATGGTTTGGAGAAGAAGGTAGACCTGTTACTATGGGTAGTACACTCTATCGCCGCATTCGAGCCTTTGGACTTCTTTCATACCGTCCACGGTTAGAGGTTCCTCTGACTGCGGGCCACTGTCATCAACCTTTGAACTAGAGCACAGAATGGCAACATTGGGAGGCAGAATGGCATAATGTTATCTTCAACGATGAATCGCGATTCTGTCTGGGTACGCACGATGGTCGTAGAAGAGTAAGACGCCACCGTGGAGAACTGCGTGATATTGGATTTGCTCTTAAGAGGCATGTGTTGGAGTAATGGTTTGCGGGGGTATTGCCTATGGTAGCCGATCATCCCTTCTCTTTGTTCAAGGCCATATGACGGCTGCGCGTTATGTTGATGATGTTCTACAAACCACTTTACTGCCGTCCCCACGTCCTCTTTCAGCAATACAACGCACGCCCCCATATAGCTCCTCGTACTATGGACTTTCTTCAAGAACGAGGCGATAACGTTTTGCCGTGGCCAGCCCGTTCACCGGATTTAAATGCCATCGAACATGTGCGGGATACGATGGGGAGGAGACTATCCACTTTGCACGAAGTTCGAGTTGCTTGGAATGAGGTTCCACAACCATACATCATAATCTCATTTTGTCGATGCCTAGACGTTACAGGAGTTTATTCAGCTGCGGGTCGCTCAACACATTATTTTTTTTCTTATTACTTGTCAATAAAATTTCGTGACAAGTTTTCGTTTCATTCTTGATGTAAGACCACCCCCATTGTCAAAAAAACAAGTTGAAGAAATTATTTGTTGACATTCGCCTTAATAAACTTGCCTCTGGTCTCTCCATCTAAATCGCTGAGCTTTGATGGTTCAGGATTAATTTTCCTAGTACTGATTTCTGGATCCGAGACTACCAATTTGTTCCACCAGTTCATTTTGTTAACTTTTTCTAAATTGAATAGAAGTATTTTACCATCTTCTATCACCCATGTCGATTCTTCCAATTTGATTTCATAAGGGAAGTCGTCATCTATGATTGGAGTTTGTCCCTAAAACAGTGCAATAGCAGGAAGTGTCACTTATAACAAACTATGACTCTTTTGACCTGATTTTTTTTAAAAAAATTAATGGGTGGTTCATTTCTCAAAAAAGATTCTGAATGATTGTTTCAATATGATTAATAAATAAAGTGCTCCTGTGCCAAAAGTTCTGAACTAAATATGCCGCCGATTAATGTCTTGCCAGATGTGGAGAAGCTGATCGAAGGGATACTATGCGAACAAATCGTTGAATTCATTGAAGAAGACAAAATTCTGACAAAAAATCAAGCCGGATTTAGATAAATATTCTACAGAAACAGCGATCCAAGTTGTGGTGGAAGACTGGAGAAGAAGTTATAGTTTTTGTAAGAAGTAAATGTTTTGGAGGCTACATGTCAAAATTACCATTTTTTATATTTCTCCGAAACGGTACGACACATCACGATAATATAGTAACTCACACCAAAATTGTAAAGCACGCAATTCTCTATAAAATTGTTCAAATGCTTTTTTGTGATTAGCTATTTATGCGTTCTTTAATCTATAGGATCTAAGTTACTGCTAAGGCGCATACGTGGCATGTTTCATTGTTATGGGTCGTTTTATAAACTGAGGTATGGAAATAGCTATAAGTGACACAGTACTAATTACAGGGCGGCCCAACAAAACGGTCGCACACCCAATTGTGACTCTCCTGGTATAATCTGGGGAAAACGCTCGAAGACGTCAATTTTGATTTCTAGAAGCCGTACAATATAGGGTGATCCAAAAATAAGATATTGTGTTACACTTTAGATTTTCAAATGAAAACCCCCATTTTTTTTTAAATTTTTAGATTTTCCATGAAGTTTTTAGTCACTTTTGTAAGTTTGTATTTATACCTATCTTCAAACGTTGTAAAGCTATTTGAGTTTATAATAAAAAAAAATAATAATCATGACACCAGTAAGAACATTTAGTATCAGTCAGTGTCATCGTATGTCATAGAAAAATTTTGTTTTTTCATTGCACACAGTTATGTTACCTACCTAGTTGTGATAAATATTGAACAATGACTTATTCAATTCAAGAAAGGGTAGAAACAACAAAACTGTATTACCAAAAGGGGATCATTGCAAGAGCTTCTGCTCAGTTGTTTAATCAAAAATATTAACGATAAGTATGTGGCTGATCAGAAAATTTGAAGAAACTGGATCTGTGTCTAATATTCGCAGTAATCGCCATCGAGAAAATCGACCAGTTAGAAATGAAACCGCAGAAATAGCAGTTCTGGGACACGTAGCACTTGACAATACCCAAAGCACTCGTGGACTGGCTACTTCGTCAGGATACACGCTCAACAGTATAACAAATTTTGAGAGGCAATAAATTTCATCCGCTCAAGATAAAACTTGTCCATGAGCTTAATGAAGACATTTTGATAGAAGGTTGGTGTTTTGCGAATTGTCTCAACATTTAATCAACAATTCAAATCTGTTATTTAATATTTGTTTCTCGGATTACTGTACGTTCTATTTACATGGTCCTGTAAATAAACATAATAATTGTCGATATTGGAATGACTCGAATCCACATTTGTTTCGAGAGGTACACTCGTAATACCCTGAAGAAATACATTTGTGGGCCGGCATTTTCGAAAATCATACTGTAAGACCTTGCGTTATTCCTTGAAACTTGACGGGCGAGACGTACTTGAACATGTTAGAAAATACAATAGAGCCATGAATTACCGAAGTTATAGAAAATGACGTTAATTATAATGGAAATTACATTCATTTCCAACAAGATGGTGCACTGCGGCACTATGTGGCTTCAGTACGACAGTTTTTGGATACGCATTCAGCACTCATTACTACATTGACCTACCTCTTTATAACACATTAATTTTTACTTTAACGGGCATGTAAACTGTATTTTTTTTTTGTTTTTTAATACTCGGAGCATTTTTGTAATTTTAAAGTAAATTCCTTTCTTACTAGGGGACTATATCGATTATTATTTTTACGATATTATCACAATTTCTAGAATTATAAACTCGAATAGCTTCATAACGATTGAAGATATTTATAAACTTTATTAAGCAAAAGTTACTAAAAACTTCATGAGGAATCTAGAAATAAAAAAAATTAGTGCTTCCAATTGAAAATCTAATGTGTAACACAATATCTTATTTTTTTATATACTGCTATACATGAAAAGACGTCCTTGTAGAAGTCAAAATTGAGCGTTTTCCCCAAAATATACCAAGGAGATACAAATGGGGGTGCGACCTTTTCGTCCGCTTGGACATATCTAGTAAAGAATCTAGAACATATGTTGACATTTTTAGAAATGGCACAGATTAGGGTGAACGTGAGTGAATTTATGGAAAAATAAAATAAAATGCTTGATATGATTCCATGGACACACTGTAAATCAATGATATTTTGGTTTTTCAGCATAATCGAAAAACTTTTAAAAGTTTAAACTTACCTTTACACCGCATGTAATATGTTTCTTTGTGAGATTCACCACTAGATCTTTCTGCTTAGCTCTAAAATTAATATTGAGCGGTACACGAATCTCAACATCACTCAAAGTTTGGGTCCACTTGTATTTGTCCAGATCACAGCCATTTCCTTTGTTTGGTAGTAATTTCCCTAAAGAATAAATGCAACTATCAATTAACAATTTGCCCTAGACAATGAGGGTATCGTAACGGTAATAACTGGAAAGCCACCTTTACGTTCTTTGTTATTTTTGGATTACCATTTGTACGAGACTTCAACTGAAACCCATCTTTGGGTCAGAAAAAATTTATTGACAATTGTATCTACAAATAATTACCAATACAATTAAGGCACATATCACATTGTGTCATCAATCGATGTATACCCTGCTTAAAGAATTCTTGTGGCTGCTGCTTGAAGAAATCTTTTACAGCATTTTGTACTTCTCCGTCCGACTGAATGCTCTAATATCCTCCATTTCGTTCGTTATAATTTTCTTTCACTACTCTGCCAACATGAGGCCGAGCATTGTCGAGCAGAAGAGAGGTTCCCCTCGTCTTATTGCTTGATGGAGATTCTTCAAAGTTTCATTATACAGGTTTGCGTTGATATGGACTATAGGATCTTTAAACTCTATGAGCAAGGGTCTTTCATGGCCGAAAAAAAATGTTAACATAACCTGGAGTGCAGAAGGTTGAACTTTAAACTTCTTTGGTGGCGGAGAATTTACGTGTTTCCATTGCATCGATGACAGCTTACTGGATGGTTCAAAATAATGACACCAAGATTCGTCGTCAGCAATTATTGACGAAAGTTTTGCTTGTATTCGGTGAGGTGTTGCAAACTTTTTTGGTCATCCAACAAAAGGCGAGGAACCCATTGCGCACACACTTTGCTGTATCCCAATTTGTGTACGATACTACGGACAGATCCTATACTCACACCAACATTTTCTGAAATTGCTCTGATTGAAATTCGACGATTTTCTATAAGCATGCCTTCCACACAAGCCACATTCCTGTCTGTTGATGCAATAATCACTTCCACTATTAAATTGTCGACACCATTCCTTAACCGTTGGACAAGCAGAACATGCGTTTCCATACATTGCTTGCATTCGCGTATGAATGTGCAATGGTTGCAAACCTTCAGCACACACAAATTGAGTGACCACGCGCTGATTATATTTGGACGGATTTTTAACAAAAGCCACTTTTACGTCACAATTGCAGTCAAACACAAATGACAGAAACTGATCAATGTGACGTTTACAAATACAACTAACATTGCAAAACGTCAGTGAAGTGATTAGAATTGTTTCCAAGGCTAACCTGACCAAACATGGGTTTCAATTGAATAAGCCTAATAAAAACCTTGCCTACGAGATGCTTCAAAGCGCATCGTAAAGTATTTTCAGGTTAACTTGATGCCACAACTTGAAACGTTATGATATTGTTACGACAACACCGTTTTACTGTTAAGAGTGTAATTTATTATTAATATACTAAATTATTATAAATTTATAATTATGTTGAATGAACTATTATTCTATAGGAATGAAGTTTGTATGAAAGAAGTTACAGTCAAGACAATTTATAAAAGGAAAAATCCAGCACCTTAGTTCTCACAGACGTTCAAGGATTCTAGATTAAAAAAAAAACTACAATTATGAAAAGTTTATGATTACTGGGAGTGAAAATGATTGGCTAGAATACACAAGATCAAAAAAACAAATATGTAGCAGTTCTACGAGATAAAAAGAAAAATTATTCTAATACCAAAATTGATGACAAAACATTAAAAAAAATTGTTTATGCTATTAGTAGAAATCCATTAGCTAAAATGAAGTTCGACGATGGGGTAATGACAAATGAAAAAAATAATAACAGATCGAAAGAATACCTATTTCATAGAAAAGGACAACGGCAATATAAGATCAATTATTGACGGGGATCCCAACCAATGTCCCATTAGATCCTATTATAATGTATGATTCAATGAGTTTAGAACAATAAATGTTAATCATATATCTATAGACTATATCAAAATTGAAACCAAATCAAAATAAGAGGGAGTCTTTGTCTAAAAGGGTGAATGTCTTGATATTAATGACCGAGAATATTAATCCTGATAAATTACTGTTTAAAATATGACGAATTTCCAGCAAAGAAGAAAACTCCTGTTCAGAAAGTTAAGAAATCAGAGTTGTACACCAATATGCGGCGAATAAATGTTCTGCCAGATGTTGAAAAAGTCTTTGAAGAAATTATTTACGAACAGATCATCGAATTTATCGAGGGAAATAGAATTTTGACCAAATTTCAAGTTGGATTCGGGAAGAAACACTCAACTGAAACGGCAATAAAAATGGTTTTAGAGGACATACAGTGACAGTGTTTTTGGACTTCAAAAGGACGTTTGAAACTATTGATAGAGATAAATTACTTACACAATTGCATGGATTTAAAGGAGCTGTATTCAAAACTATCTAAAACTGCTTAATTGACAGAAGACAAAAAAGCAAAATTGGATCATTCATTATCAAGCTCAAAAAATATTTCTGTGGGTGTACCACAAGTTAGTAAACTAGATCCACTACTTTTTATTTTATACATTAATGACATTTGTGATATTTTAGATTATTGTAAAAATCAGATATCTGCAGATGATACATTGATATACGTATCAGATGAAAATATAGATATTGCTTTAAAAATGATAAATTCTGACTTGGCAAAAATCACAAATTGGTTAAATGTAAATAAACATTGCATGCTTCTAAAACATAAGGTATGCTAATATGTAAGGAAATACCTAAATGAAAATACTATCACAGTTAGGATAAATGGTGAAATAATTGAAAATGTTGAATCAATTGAACATTTAGGTATATATATATATATATATATATATATATATATATAGATACATATAGGGTGGCCCATCCATGTGTGTTCGGAATATTACACATAAACAAATACATTTTGGGAAAATCTATTTATGAGATGTTATACAGGACATTTGAGGGCACATTTCTAAATTATTGGCCATTATACAGGGTGTCCCAATTTCGACATACATATCAAAGTTGTGATTTTTCAAATGGAATGTCTCAAATTTTATTGCATATTTGGATAAATCAATTCAAAAGAAGAAAATTGATATAATATACTATGGGGTTTTGGTAATTAGCTACTAGATATAAGGTGTTTTATCTAGAAAAACCTCCACTTGGAGTGCTGAATTTTGTATCAAAAAAATCACCTCAGCTTTTATCTTATTTGTTACTTTTTAGAATTTTCATTTTTGCTGATACAGGGTGGTCAAAAACGCAAATTGTACTTTTTCTCAAAAATTTCAAATTATATGTATATTTGTGCAAGTTTGGATTCAATTTTTTATAAGCTTTTTTTTAATACTAGACACATAAGGATTTTTACGACTATTTTTTCGGTTATTAGCACGTCTTTTATGGAACGGCTTAATTCCCTAAAATATCGCATCATCCTTGGAAACAAATAAATTGTTGATTAGTTACAAACTGTCTAAATTAGCTTTGTGAACATTATAATAAAAACGTGTTTGAAAATGAATTTTTCTAAAGAAGAAATGGTGAGTATGGTGTTCGTTTTGGGCGAAGCCTAGCATCTCACATTTATAAGCAACGGTACCATAATATGCGACATCCAAGGCCGGAAACTTTTTCCACATTATGAGAACGTTTTTAATCAAGTGGAGCAGTGGAATATAGTAAAACATGTATAAGTAATCCAAGTGTCACCAATGAGGCGAATGGGTTGGAGGTTCTATTAAAGTTGCAGGAAAATCCCCATTTAAGTGCACGGCAAATTGGAGCAGAAACTGAAATATGCAGAACTTGAGTAATATGAGTAATATTCCGTTCACACATGGATGGGCCACCCTGTATATATACTGATAGTAAACTAAAGTTTGAGGATCACTATTATTTCAAAAATTTCCAAAAAACAAATTACTTATAGGGCTTCTCATACTCTTAGTACATATTTAAAAAAAATAGTTTAATTATTCTACCGCCTTTACTATATTGTGAAGCTGTATTCTCAAAATTACAAGACCTGCAAAATAAAGCTATGAGAATAATATTTAATAAAAATAGTTACACCAAAATAAAATCTATGTTATAAGAATTGCAGTGGTTGTAGGTAAAATATTTCATAACATATTTGGTTCTTATTTTTATATTTAAAATAAAAAATCATCTTTTGCCACAACATTTATAATGCTCTTCAAAAGGTACATGGATTCTGTTTTTATTATTCCTAAGGGAATTATTGGGATCATACTTGGCTGTGGCGATGAAAATTATTAGTGAACGTCTAAATACAGCATGTGGTTCGGCATCTCTATCAAGAATACGTTATTCAATGCTAAAAATGTATTTGTAGAACTAACAATTAAACAAATGTCCATATTAAAAAGAAGTTAATCATATTATACCTTTTTCTGATTCGTCTTCATCATCCTCTATTGTCTTTGACTTTGGGTCAGGAAAGGCAGGTGTGGTTATTCCATTCTTCTCATTATCTATTTCTGTTTGTAGCTTCTCAGCCTCAGCGTCTGTTAATTCTGTTATCTCTGCTGGTTTCACCGGTTCCTTGGCTACCTTTTTCGGTTTTGCACGGGCCTCCCGTTCTCTCAGTTCAATCTCATGTTGTTCTCTGAATCATATTGAGGAAATGATGTTTATATTAATTTATGACTGTGTAAAAATTGTGGAACAACCAGACATCGGCGTTTACGCATAGACGATGTGTAGACAACGTAGATAACAGCATATCTAAGTGGGATTAGATTTATTCAAAATTGTGAAAGCATAGGTGAAAGAGTAACAAATGATCTTGTACAGGGTGGACCAGAAAGATGTACGAATTTCAAAACCGCATCGCTCGTGACAAGCGCACGGGAACAGGACACGGGTAGTGGGGATAAGTAGCTTGGTGCCCAGAAATTTCGACGCCATGAAACGTTTCACCAGTGAGCAATGTGCGTTCTGTGTTAAGGCTAATTACAAAAATGGGGATTCGCCCACAATTGCGCGGCATCTGTTTCGCTCTGAGTTTTCATGATTTAAATCAATGCCCTAGTGAAATTGTGATCAGGTCGTGGGTCAGAAAGTTCGGATCTACCGGTTCGACACTGAATCATAAACTCGCGGGGCGCCCTAGATCAATACGAACAGAGGAAACTGTAAGCGAAGTTACGACGGGCGTACAGCGCGATCCACAGTTATCATCCCGAGAGAGATCAGCTGAGCTCGCAAGATCAAGAACATGTGTAAGGCGTATTTTCGTAAAAGACCTTAAATTTCATCCATACAAACTTCAACTAGTGCAGGAATTGAAAGCGCAGGACCATCATCTACGCCGTGCGTTTGCCGAAACAACATTAGAGCGCTGTCCAAGTTTGAACATTTTCTTTTCTGAACCTCATTTTCATATGAGTGGATTTGTCAACAAGCAAAATTGCCAGCAATGGGCTGCAGAAAATCCCAAATTAAAACACCAAAGACATATGCATTCGCGTTATGTTACAGTTTGTGCGGCCATGTCGGCTGAAGGAATCATCGAACCCGATTTCTTCGAAAACCAGCAAAGCCAGAATGTAACAGTAAATTCTAATCGCTGCACAGCAATCCTACGTAACTTTTTCTTTCCACAACTGCATAATTTTGAAGCCTACCCGATTGAGCCAATAAAACGACGACGATTGCCCAGCTCATCCCCCCTTTTTAGGGGTAAATGTAACACTTTTTAAAATTTGATAATTTGAGTTATTACTTTTTTTTGGACAGTCCAAAGATCAAAAAGATGCATAAAAAATTTCCAAGATCGAAAATTGAGAATCTAACATTGCTCCAATCTTTGCTAAAAAAACATGACTTCCTTTTCTCACCCTGTATAAGTGGATAAATAAAAGAAATATACCAGATGGATCCTGTACGTGTTCTCAAAGAGTTGGTCAAGAACCTCCTGAATACTGCAACTTGATATCTCTTTCCATTCCGAACATACAGAGATTTCAATTAGGATAAAATTTTCCATGTTGCAAATAAACTGTCCACCAGCAGTCTGACAGGGTATTTAGGTCAAAGCCTGCGAAACTGATTGAGGTACTCCAGATACTTGGTCTGTTCTTAATTATAAAATTTCCTTTGGCCTAAATTTTAGGCTAGATGCGGTTTGCGCGAGTTTGTTTAGACATTATTTAGCTATTTTTTCATAAAAGAAGAATCATACCAATGCATTTAATTTTTTTGAGAAAATTAATCATTTCGGAATGTCTAATAAAGTCCTCTTATAACATTTGTAGCCAAGAATAGCTCTTTTCAGAAAGAGAAGATACAGTAATGGTTTTTATGGAAACCTTTGAATACTCCTCCACACTGTTGAGCATGAAAATCATGCTGTTTCTGCAGCTTCATTTCTAACTGGACGACTTTCTTGATGGCCATTTTGGCGAATATCAGACACAGATCCAGTTTCTTCAAATTTTCTTACTAACTCAGCCACATACTTATTGTTAATATTTTTGTCTGGATGTAATGCATTGAACAACCCAGCAGCAGCTCTTACAATGCTCCCATTTTGGTAATACAGTTTTGTAATTTCTACCCTTTCTTGAATTGAATAAATCATTGTTCAATATTTATATAGTGACACTGACTGATGCTAAATGTTCTTGCTGGTATCCATGATTATTATTTTTTGCTCTGTATTCCATTATTATCAGTATTAAGTTAGTTGAATTTTAGTAAAAACTCAAATAGCTTCACAGCAATTGAAGATTATAAACTTTATTATACAAAAGTTATAAAAACTTCACAGAAAATCTAAAAACTAATAAAAAATTGGGGTTTCATTTAAATATCTAAAGTGTAACACAATATCTTGTTTTGGATCACCCTGTATTGTACAGTACTAGATGATAAGATGTCCCCTAGAAATCAAAATTGACGTGTCAAAGCGTTTTTCCCAAAATGTACCAGGAGAATCACAAATAGGGGTACAACCTTTTTATTTGGCCACCCTATATAAGAAAAGTTACTACAGACTTTTAGTTAGACAAATCATGGTAAAATAATGAAACATCAGTTCTAAAAAAGTTGACTCCAATAACAAAACTCCCAATAATACACCTGAACAACACAACATATATGGAGGAGACTGCCTTATGCATAAATGCAACAACCATCAAAATGCCAAACCCCATTTCAAAGAGAAGTTTGGAAATGAGCCTTTACAGTATTTTCAGTGGATTTATTTGAAACAGGATTACTGAATGTATCTTAAATATGTAGTTTCATCTTTTTCATGCCCTAGCATTCCTATTTAATAAGTATGTCATTCCCATGTGTACTTAGCTGGTTCAATGTCCCAAATACCACTTTTCTGTACATAATCATGTAATTGATATGATAATTTTATATTATTTGATTTGTCAAATTATATTTGAATTTACTCACTATTTGTACGATCACCCAAATATAGACCATTTATGTTCCACATTTTTCCTTGTATGTACATACTTATTTGACATTTCCACAACCTCAAAGGAAGGGTGTTGGTTACTTAGAAATTGCTAGGGTCAGCTTGCAAATGCAACATAACTGAAGTTGAAATTTTGTTGAAGTTATGTTGTCGTTGGGTTGCTTTTGACGAGAATGGTGGTTTAATGAATCACCCTTTACATTATCATGTTGTCAGTAGTTGCAACCACTGCCTAGCAACGAATAAATATGGGTAGATATCCAAAATGGGCATATTTTTAATTGCAGGCATTGAAGTTATTCCACTGAAACGGTGGATTTATATGTACCACTCATAGTTAATGGGCTGATACAGTTTAATTGTTTAGTGGCTATACTCGTGTAATGCCATTGTAGTTAATGCCAGGTAGTAAACAAATAGCTAATATATTATGACTTCTCCAGTGTTATCATCTATTATTACTTACCGGGCGATTTTTTCGTACTTTTTGAATGTGCTCATAACCAATTTTTCCCAGATCCCCTCCTTGCCTCCAGTAAAGAAGTCTGTCTTGCGACTCAGAAAGTTCACAAACGTGTCCAGCAACTGTGGAGCGCCTTGGGGATGATGTTCGGCTATAGAGAGAAACAAAGCATCGAACTGGTCCATTTTGCTTTCGTCGCCACTCATTTCTTTGGAGAGTTTCCCTCAAATTTGCTCGAGTTTAAAAAATCAAGTTTGTAAAGTGCTAGATTTTGAAATTTAACAGCACAGAGCACACGATTTTTGATTTGACACACAAAACAACACCACACAACACACTGAATTTGACAGAATGTGACTGAAATGTCTAATACCCTCTCCAGACTCACGCGCGAATCACGGCGTGAAATCTCAGCGCGGATCGCGGTGCGAATCCCGAAACCCGAAAACTGTTCCTACAGTTCCACACTCGCAGATGTTCGCCCCTGCTTCACAGTACAGTTCGCGCTCTTGACGAGAATGGTTGGTGAAACTGCTAATGCTGCTGCAGGGCTACTTTGCGCTTTGGCAATTTATAATTACCCATATATAAGTAAATCTGGAGCAATTGAAAAGAAGTGGTAAAAACTCAACCATTCCCGGCACTCGCTGAGGCATCTGAGCCGCCAGCGAATGTTCACGATATGTTCGCGCCTTGCGAACCCTTTGTCGCGGGACAAAAAACCGACAACAAACGGGAACAAAGCGCGAACGCGACGTGAAGCCGCGAAGAATACGCGAATGGATCCACACTCATGGGTCGCGGCTTCGCGCGTGAGTCTGGAGAGGGCATGAACGTTGTCAAGCGAATGACATTAATCCTGTGCAGCATAAAACATATACACTGAACACAAAACACATAAGACTGAAGAAGTGGGAGCTGCACGTTAAACAACGGCAACAACGTTGACGTTCTGTCAGATGGTTGCGCCGCCTACTTGCCTTGAGACCTGGAAGAACTATCGAAGGAATTCAAAGAATGCGCCGGGAGATTAGGAATGCTTGGAATGTGCAGAGGATTCAGTTTGTTTACAATTTACGATGGAATACTTTATTTTTGTTTATACAAGCAGATTTCCGAACAATGTGGAAATAGGAAATTTTGCAAGAAGGATATTTGCGTGAGTACTTTAAAGTAGCGATGTACGAAGAGGCAACCCCAAATCCTGACTGAATTACAAAAGAAAAACAAGCTTATTGAAATATGCAATCTTAAGTTTTCCTGCACACAATCACAAGTGTTTTACATTGAAAAATATATGGCAAAGGTTATTATTACTATTATTATATGCAATAATTTCTCGATTGGGAATTAAATCAATAATTAAAAATTTAATGTGTAGCGTAGCTTACCCAATTCAAAAAACAGATTGAAAGCAAAATGGAAGTTCCCAGGGAAAGTCAAACTGTCGTTTGTCAAAAATCAAACTCTGTTGGTAAGAAAGTGTCCTAGATTTTGCCTGGAGATTTATGTGTTTTGTGCCTGGAGAGAATGACCTTGGTGTTGCCAGTTCGCCCATAAGACGTTTCACCCCGCTGACACTGAAGAAGAAATTAACCTTGTTATTATAGCAACACCAATAATCAAATCCAAGCGAATAACCAAAATTTCTGTGTTATGTACCGCGGTTATAATATGGTTTCAGATGACAGACGGGTTGATGACGTCAGTTTCTCGAATCGTTTGAACGCGTTGATTTTAACTGCGGATATAATTTCTGAACATTTTTATTATTACTCAATAATCGGTGCTTTTTCGTCTTCAACAGTGTATGGAAAGTTTAACAAAGAAGCCTTTCATAATGAGAGAAATGTTTTTTTTTCAGAAAATAATTTTTAATGATGGAACCATTGCTTTGTAGCTATGATAAATCTCAATTCTCTAAACTTTTCCGCATGTCAAAGAAAACATTTATTGATTTAGCAGTAATGGCAGGAAATAGCGATGAAAAACCGTATACAGGTGGAGATTATCCAGTTAGTGTATATGGCCATTTTTTAAAATTCTTGTGGTATATGGCTACGCAGGATACTTTGTTAAGCATAGGAACTAGATTTAAAGTATCCCCAACAACAGTAATGAGTATAACTAATAAGGTGCTCTACTTTATTCTACAACTGAAGTCGGCCTGTATCAAGTTTCCCAAAAATGAAGCTGAAGTACAACAAAAATATCCAATACCCGGCAAAATTCTATCTTGTCACATTTCAAATAATAACCAGAAATATAAAACTACTCCTGAGTTGGGTAAATACCACAATTTTGCGGTGATAACTATGACATATAACAGCTGACGGATCTTATAACCAAACCGATAACCACGCTTGCTTGAACGGATCGGTAAATACCAATCCAAAATGGTAAATACCATTTTCATGTGGTTATTCGCTTGAATTTGATTATTGACTTCAAGCTGTTATTTTTTGAAGATGCGCCATGATTGCCAGATTTTGCGTTAATGTCAGGCTACGCTGCTAGCTCTATACAGGGTGTTCATTTGAAAACCTCCCACCTCGGATTAATCGGAAACCACTGATTAAAAGAAAAAAACGCCGGACAAAAAGATTTGTCAAGGGGGACAACCTTTTGACCAAAAATTACCTCACCCCCTTTCACCCTCGGCCTCCCAGGGTCAAATTTTAAATGATAAGGGGTATCGAGTAATAGCTTGCTTGAAAGGTCCTTTATTTTGACGTTTGATTTTTTTAAATAAGTCGATTCGTTTTCGAGAAAGTTAGAAAAATCTTTATTTATCTTAATCTGTTCAGATAGAAAACAAAAAGACTAAAATTTGTTTCACGAACATCTGCGGGATTAACTGCAACATTGATGCAGTTCATCACTACTTGCAATCCAATCGTCCCGCCATGCTTTTCGTGGCGAAGACAAAAATCTCAGAGTCCGGTTAATCATCTTACCTTCCCAAATTACGAGGTGCACTCCAATCTGAGAAAGAACGGGGGAGTTGTGGTCTTTGTCCGCAGCAGTCTTTCCTGCTGCAGAGACGTTTCTCTGGGATCAGACCGGAAGGACATTCTGTGGCTTCGCCTCAACTTCAAAACATCCCTCAAATTTATTTGCTGTCTTTATAGCTCTCCCTCGGACCATATAATAATTCACCCCGCTTCAGAGGTAGGTCTCCTCCGTGATTTCAATGTCCATAATTTGCTTTGGTTGGGCTCAAACAAGACCGATGCAGCAGGTTGTGCAGTTGAAGCGTTCGCTCTTACTCAAGGGCTGACTCAGCTGGTGACGGGCCCTAGTTTTTTCCTCCGCGTCTCGTCACATGCCACTAGCCTGCTGGATCTCTTCTTGACCACGCATCCTGTCCCTTACAGCACTGCTGTCCTGGCCCCCTTGATAACTCAGACCACTGTGATGTGGAGGTTAGGTTTCGGTCAGAAGCCGCTGTGGCAGCAGAAACTCGCATAGGCCGCAAAATTTGGCATTAGGCACATGCCGACTGGCAGGGGCTCAGAGGCTTCTTCTCTACCTTTTCTTGGAGAAATGTCTGCTTCACTGACGCGGACGTGTCGGCTGTCTGTTCTTCGATAACCGAAATTATCCACGTCGGAATGGAGGAATACATCCCTCATACAGTGAAAGTGCCTAAACCAGGGTCCAACGGCTGGTTTAACAATTCGTGTGACCCAGCAGAAGATCAAGGCACACAGAACCTTCTTACAAAACCCCACTGTAGAGAACACACAAGCCGACGTCGAATCCAGAAACAAATATAACGAAGCGGTTCGCAGTGCCAAAAACCAGCACTATATAAGAGTTAACTAATAAGAGGAAACTTTTCCCAGTTCTACTAACCTCGGGTCAACAAAATTTCTTTGCGATCATCATAGCAGCCGTGGTGTTACGGCATTTAGGCTTCTGCCTGCGCGGCTGCTGCGGTATAAAAAATAATAATTGGCTATACCTATTAATATTCTTATCACCTGCTGACATAATAGAAGTGCTTGATTGTGTCAGTATTTGCACCATTTACTTGATTTGTTTAATGGGCAGTTCAGAGTCTTAATGCTTAAGCTTAATACATACTAGTAGACCCCGTTGCGCAATTTGTCTATAGGCAGTCTGGAGACGGTCTCAAGACACGATCTATAGATGGTCTATAGACATCCTTCTTTGTCTTGTCTAGCGTTCATACGATAATGTGAATTTTTTGGTCTAATGTTCGTTTTCGCAATCAAAGACATTGTGTGTGGAATGGACTGGGATATGTCTCGGGGTTTCTCCCCCTTAGATGAAATCCTGAATCCGCCGGTACCTTTTGTGTTTTATGTCACGCGCGCCGCTAGTGCATTTTCCAATGTTTAGGCACATACTGTTCAAAATTTCATCTAATGTTCAGTAAATATTGGGACAATTTTTACAAAGACTTTTATTTTGCATTTTTTTTTTTACTACGTATTTCTCCCAAAACAGTACAATTTGGCAACAATACACATCATTTGTCTTATCTGTCAAGAAATGAACGTTACAAAATGGCACTTGAAAATTGTTCCTACTTTCAAACATTTCTTATAAACGCAAAAACTTTGATCTCATTGAAAATACGCCATCGTTAAGGAATTTTACGAAGCCATTAAAAAAATTGCAGGTCAACACCTCTATATAGTTTACCAAATAAAAACCAACATTTAAGGTACCTATGGATTTTGAACTAATCTTGCTTGTTTAGACATCATTTAGCTACCTTTCATAATTAAAGTCTTACCAATGCATTTCATTTTTTGAGAAAATTGACCATTTCTTTACCGCGGTGATTCTAGCAACAACGGCCAGCCAGCAACAAACGATAGTCCCTCTTCTCACCAGCGGCCGCGTCGCGCTGGACACCATCGCGCGTCGCTACAGCAGCGAAGCCGGCGCAACGTAAGCAGGCGGTGCGGCACCGTCTTCCCATGTAAAACGGTGTTATAGTATCTACACAAAATTATATACATTGTGTGTTGTCAGTGTTATCACACTATCTATCACATTCCGTGGCCGGGGCAATTTAAGCCTACCAGAGGGAGCGAAAGTTACCTATACGAAAAGCACATGGAAATTTGAAAATTAAAATTCTCAATTTTTCTTCGAATCAACACCACTTTTTTTTCACGAAAATCGATTCTACAATGCATCCTTCATATCCCGGATCGATTACATCTCGTGGCCGGGGCATATTAAGCCTACCAGAGGGAGCGAAAGTTACCTATACGAAAAGCACATGGAAATTTGAAAATTAAAATACTCAATTTTTCTTCAAATCAACACCACTTTTTCTTCACGAAAATCAATTCTACAATGCTTCCTTCATAGCCGGGATTGATTACATCTCGTGGCCGGGGCATATTAAGCCTACCAGAGGGAGCGAAAGTTACTTATACGAAAAGCACATGGAAATTTGAAAATTAAAATTCTCAATTTTTCTTCAAATCAACACCACTTTTTTTCACGAAAATCAATTCTACAATGCTTCCTTCATATCCGGGATCGATTACATCTCGTGGCCGGGGCATATTAAGCCTACCAGAGGGAGCGAAAGTTACCTATACGAAAAGCACATGGAAATTTGAAAATTAAATTACTCAATTTTTCTTCAAATCAACACCACTTTTTCTTAACGAAAATCAATTCTACAATGCTTCCTTCATATCCGGGATCGATTACATCTCGTGGCCGGGGCATATTAAGCCTACCAGAGGGAGCGAAAGTTACCTATACGAAAAGCACATGGAAATTTGAAAATTAAAATTCTCAATTTTTCTTCAAATCAACACCACTTTTTTTTCACGAAAATCGATTCTACAATGCATCCTTCATATCCCGGATCGATTACATCTCGTGGCCGGGGCATA